GTGTAGACCGCTCCTTTTGATGCAAGAGCCTCTTCTGCCAAAATGGTGGCTCATTAGGTATGCAAATGAGGCTCGGCGATATTCCACGCTTAGCCTCGTTTGCATATTTCTGACGCAAGATTGCGCCAGTGTAGACAAAGCCTGGGAGTCTCTGGAGAATAGACTGCAAGAAACAAGCTGCCCAGGCCAAATGAAGGACTGCAAGGGGCTGTGTTAGGAAATCTAGTCTCATTAGAAGTTCCTCCCTATTTCTGCCCCTCTCCCACCAGCTCGGGGAAGTCTCTGAGGAAATGCTCATGTGCCACTCACTTGCACTAGAAAGGTAGAACTGGGCTGGTGGATGCTGGATCTAATTCAGCCTTGCTTCCAGGGACAATTAGCAAGAGTTCATGGCCAGAGGCCTGCTGGCTCTTCAATCTTTGCCCTTAGCAATTCTCTGCACAGGGCTTGGTTCTCAGTGGTGTATGGGGCAACCAAACAATACACGGTGGGAGCTAGGCGTCCACATGGAGTCCTGCCAGCAGAGCACCTAATGAGGAGGGAAGGCCAGGGTCAACCTCAGAGGGAACCTTCTGAAGGGAAGGGGCCCAGATATTTGTTATCCCTGCTCCACTGGGCTGTTACACCAATGGCGTAGGTAGCAAACATAGTTAATCAGACACCTCACAGTGCCCTTGCCAGAAGCACTGGATCGGTCCCTCTATCAAGGTCTCTCCCCTGTGAATTAATCCTGTGCTGGAGTAGATCCTGATTCCTCCCTCCCCTTCTGGTATAGAAGTGTAAAAGAAAGAGGTGGCAGTGTTTAGGTGCAAACCAAGTAAGCTGCTGTTTAGGGACTGATTACGAAGAGGGAGAAATGGGGGAGCTGCCCTGACACAGGTATGGCAAAGGTAAAACAAATGAGTGATCGTAACAGCACAAACAGGGGCTGGAAGCTCAGACCCATGAAATCAGACCCAGGGCTCAGTGGTTAGAGAGCTTGGGAGAGGAAGCTCCAGCTACAGTCGATGGAGTCTGAGGAGAATAGAACCTCGCAACCATTTGGCGGGAAAATCCAGTTTCGACTGGTCTTTGAGCAGCCAGTGCCTGAGGGGATCCAACATGGATTCCGAGGTCAGGGGTCACAGACTCCATCTTAGTTGCCCCTATTAACCTACTAATACACCATCATAGCATGCAACGTTAACGAGGTAGAACAATTAAATCATATGTAAATGAAAAACACCCTAACAGGGCTTGTTCCCAGCTCTGTGCTCTCCCTCCCCTGTTCTTCAGCAGCTCCATCAAACCAAGGGAGCAGGGGCTAGAGGCACCTCCAGTTCCTGGCACAGAGAAGTTGTCTGGTGACCTACCCAGAAGTGTGTGGTGCCCTTCCCGGTGCCCATGGAGAACATGCTGTGCAGGACAGCACGAAGGAAGCAGGATTCCTGCTCCAGCAGTGGCTGCAGTGAGCTGGTAAGAGAGGTGCCTGGGTAGCACCAGAGTGGCCCTGGCATTGCTCTGGGACATAAAATGTCAGGGAAACTAGGCCCTGGCCAGCTCAGAGACATGGGGGTGCCAACGAGCACAGTGACCTGGCTGAAACTGCAGATCCAGTCAATGGCAGGGCTGGAATAGGGCCCCTTTCCCTCACCCCACCACTGGACCCTGCTGCCCGTCTTGCATGACCTGCTCCTTCCCATTATCCTCTCCCTAAGGCTACTATAATGTTGATGGAGTGAAATCAAGCCCCAGCCAGCACAAGGTGAATGTTCCCATCTCCTATGCAAATAGCCGCAATTGGGGTAACCTAGGAGAGCAGGATCTGAGACTCTTGGCTCCAGGGCTAAGCAGTCCCGGAGTTAGGAAGGGGACAGGAGGCTACCAGTACCTGATGTGGCAAACTGTAGCCATGGAGCTGGAGAGGCTAGAGCTGTGCTCCTACTCCAGGGTCAGGTGATCAATCAGGTCCTGGGAAGCTCAAAGAGACAAAACCATTTATGAGATTCAAGCCCCAGTGATCCCCAGGCACGGTCCAGGGAAGGGGTCAAACTGACCTTGAGACACAGCCAGTGTCTTTGTGCCATCCTCCATCCCCCCATACATATACCACAATCTAGCACCCCCATTCTTCCCATCCTTCTACCTAATTCCCTCCCTCCTCTTGGGTTCAGCTGCCCCACCTACCCTACAATCACCCCACTGCCAGCTCCCAGTCAGTTTCAGAACTTCCCCCTTCCCTGCCCTCCCAGCCCTCATCCCCAGAAATCTGGGTCCTCTGCTTCCCTCTCCAGCCCTACTCACTCCTCCGCTGGCCCAGGGGAGGCCTCTCCTCCTCCCATGTCTGGCTTCCTCCTACCAGGCATGGGGTCCCACTCCCTGCAATACTCCCCATGAGGGCTGCTTTGGAGCAGCACAGCTCCAGGGTGTCCTGCCCCTGCGTCTGAGCTGAGACGCGCAGGGTGGGGATCGTCTCAAGGAAGTGGAGCTGCTTGGCCCTGTCCTGCACCCACTAGGAGTGGTGGTGGGGGAGAGAGACAGTGTCTGTTAGGTAGGACCTCCCTGCTGCACCCAAAGCAGCTCCAGAGATCATGAAGTTGGACAGGAACCCCCTTCCCAGAACCACAGTATGGCCTTGCTCAGGCTGGGTTTGTCACTGGGACAGTGTCTGGGGGGGAAAAGGGGACCCTGCCTGTGTGGGGCGAGCACCCCCTCGTGGGGGTCCCAGGGAACATGGGAGAAGTGCCCCCAGTGGGGGATATGAGCTTTTCTGGGACAAGACCCCCCTGTGAGGGTGGGGATGGAACAAGGGGCAGGGCAGACACCCCTGCAAAGGGGGAGCCTGCAGGCTCAGGGCTCACACCCCACTGAGGTGCTGCTGGCCCCTCGGGAGTAGGCAGAGCTGCTTGTGCGGGAGCAGGGCTCCCCCATCTCCGGCTGGGGGCTCTTCCATGGCCAGGCAGGTGGATGGCTCCTGCTGGCCCCTGGAGATGGGATCCTGGCTCCTCTGTTCCCTGTGAAGGAAGCCCCAGAGATGCCTTGTCCGGCCTCTCCAGGGTCCCTCCTGCCAATGTGCAGCCTGGGCCTCCTCCATGCTGGCTTCAGGGCCTGCTTGGGAAACTGGTGTCTTCCTCCTCCTCTTCACAGTGCAGGGAAGGTCCATCTCTTCTCCTGACCCCCATCCTCTTCCCCACCCACAGGGGCCGGACAGCTGGCTGCTGCTTCCCTCTGGCACTGGGGCCACCTGCCCTGCCTTCCTCCTTAGCATCTGCCTCAGCTTCTTCCTGCTGGAGCCATGAGTCCGGGTTCAAGGCAGCTTCTCATTAATGGCTCTGCCAGCTCTGCCCCCACCTCTGCTCTGCTGGGGCAATTTCCCCTCCCAGCACACATCACCACAGGGCACGGAGCGTGCCAGCCACATGCGCCGGCAGCGGCTCACAGGGCAGGCTGCTCCCAAAGCCGCCCCTCACCCCTGTGACACCGAGGGAGTCTCGCCCTTTCAGAAGAGTGGGGCTCACAGTTATTAGTGTGGTTGCTAGGGAGACTTGGTTCCTGGAGTTGTTGCTAGGGAGACTTGGTTCCTGAGGTGACTTGGTTCTTGGGCTAGTTGCTAGGGAGACTTGGTTCCTGGGGTGGTTGCTAGGGATATTTGGTTTCTGAGGTGACTTGGTTCTTGGGCTAGTTGCTAGGGCGACTTGGTTCCTGGGTTCATGCTAGAAGGGACAGCCTGGGAGCCCTATTGCTGGGACATTCCCACCGCACTGGGAGTGTCTCTGGAGTACAGCCTGCAAGAAACAAGCTGCCCAGGCCAAATGAAGGACCACGAGGGGCTGTTAGGAAATCTAGTCTCATTAGAAGTTCCTCCCTATTTCTGCCCCTCTCCCACCACTCAGGGAAGTCTCTGAGGAAATGCTCATGTGCCTCTCACTTGCTCTAGATGAGTAGAGCTGGCCTGGTAGATGCTGGATGTTGATTTGTCCCCGTCCCTTTTCCTCATGTAGCCTGATCTAAGAGTATGCTAAATTCTAATTACCCACCTTTAGGGTTGACGGGTTCTCTGTCCCAGGATCAGGCCCAGTATTCAATTATTCTGTGATTGGGAGCCCTGATGTGCGTTGTTGCAACACTCACAATATAGAAACTCTTGAATATTTACAGTTTATTAATATGGTTAGCACAGTCACAAACACCTCAATTTCATAGGTCAGGGAATGTACATTCATATTTCCTTACCGTATACTTACATCATTCCTTCTAGAACAATCTTAGGTGTTAGCCCATCATCTTTCTCATTACCTTCACCTTCCCCATCATCACCATGAACCTTCATTCTGATCCCTCCAAGGACTACATCTTCTCCTCTCAATTGCCCCTTGTCTGGGGTCCCATTTTTATACCCAGTGACACTGACAATAACATGTTTGGTGCATATTCAGTAGGGGATGTTTCTAATGCTTGGTCACGAGCTGCACATGGTTCTCTCCCTCCCCCCCCAAAAGTGCGGTTCGCAAAGCCACCCCTATTGCTCATGAAACCTCCTCTGTGCCCCTGAAAACATCCCCCACCTCCCGGCTCCCTGTGCTCACCGGCTCCATGTGCTGTCGGGTGCAGCCATTCAAGATGGCGTCTTCAAGATGGCAGCAGCTGGTGGGAGCGTGATGTGGCAGTACTTTTTTTTTTTTCTCGGCAATGTTTTCTCCATGGCTCTTTCTACTATATACACAACTATTTTGGCTCTTTGCCTATAACGGGTTGGCCTCCCCTGGATTATGGCATCTCATGCATAGGGTGCATGATGTGGGGTGCGATGGGTTTGTGTGACAGGGAAGAGGTGTGGCGACAAACCCCTGTGTAAATGTACTGATCTTCAGCCGGGTCAGTAGCTAATAGAAGGCTCCTAAAAATGAAAGTTCTGCAAATTGTTAATTAAAATGAAAATACATTAACAAGCAAAAAAAAATCCTAACCTAATTAGCATTGGTCAGTAATCCATTTATTGATTCAAGATAAAGTCTCCATATTTACAGAGAAAGGACTTTCCTGTCTTGTATCCTCCTAAAAGCCTCTTTCACCTCCTTGTTCCTCAGGCTGTAGATCAGGGGGTTGAGCATGGGGATCACCAGGGCATAAAAAACGGAGATGATTTTGTCCTGGTCCATGGAGTACTTTGAGTTCGGCCGTAAATACATAAAAATGGCGGTCCCATAGAAAATGCTGACGGCCATCAGGTGGGAGGCACAGGTGGAGAAGGCTTTGCGCCTGCCCTCCGTGGAGTTGATCCTAAGAATAGCGACCAGAATGCACACGTAGGAGATGATGATGGTCAGGACAGTAGATAATGCAATTACAGTAGAAAAGATGAAATGTACCATGTCTGCGATGTGCGTGTCGGAGCAGGACAGCTTCAGGAGGGGGGGCCCATCACAGAAGAAATGATTGATGACGTTTGATCTGCAGAAGGACAACCGGAATATAAATACAGTCTGAAATGTTGCATTTACCAGGCCGACCAGGTACGACGCCAGCACCAGCAGCACGCAGAACCGTGTGGACATGATAACGGTGTAGAGCAGTGGGTTGCAGATGGCCATGAAGCGGTCGTACGCCATCACCCCCAGCAGGCAGCATTCACAGGACACTGCAATGCATATGAAGTAGAACTGCCCCGCGCATCCAGAGAATGTAATAACTTTGCTCTCCACTACCAAGAACATCAGTGTCTGGGGAGCGATGATGGTGGAGTAGCCGACATCTAAGAGGGCCAGGTGACTGAGGAAAAAGTACATTGGAGTGTGAAGCCGGGAGTCAATCCGGATCAAAGTGACCATCCCGAGATTCCCCACCAGGATCACCAGGTAGATCAACAGAATCACCACAAAGATCACGACTTTGAGCTGCTGGTTGTCTGTGAATCCCAGCAAAATGAACTCGGTAACAATGGTGTGATTCTCCTCCGCCATTTCTCCCAAGGGTGCTGTCCCGCACAGGTGAGAGAGTGAGTCCGACATAGAAAAAAGAGACAAAGGTTGAGTGTCAATTCTTTGGTGTCATTCTGATTCACTGTAGGGTAAATTTGAGGCAGTGGATATGTCAGGTTTCCATAACCTTCCCATGTGGTTCTCTGGTCAGAGCTGAGAGAGGTGTAAGGCTCCGTTATGGGATTTGAACGTACAGCCATGGGTCTCTCAGCTCAGGCAGTGGGAAAAAGGAAGAAGGTGCTCCCAGCAGGTAGCTGGCCTGCCACAAAATGCCTGTCCCTACTGTGTCTAGTATTTGTATGTAGTGGAGCAGCTTCATTCGGAGAGACTGGAGCCCTCATCAGAGCATGCCATAGCCCACTAGGTAGGGCGCTCTGCAGAAATGAGAGACTCATTGAAATGGTTTCTGTCTGTCTGCAGGACAGTGCTCCTGGCCACGGGGTGTACGGTGCAGAACTCCTGAGAGGGGCAGGACTTTGGACAATCTCTCATTGCCTAATTCCCCATTCAGCATACTGGCTTTTGTGGATATCGTTTCTAATCTTTCACTCCCCACTCACAGGAGGAGATCCTGGATCCCTACTCAGGCTTTGTGAATCCTAGAAATTCTCCAGGGACTCAAAAGTTAGGCAGCGTAACACTGAACACACCAATGCTTCAGCCTCATGGTGAATCTGGCCTCGTTTTACGAGGCATAATGGATCTATCAGAAAAGGCTTTCTTTAGCGATAGATCACCCTCTAGACTGCCACTTTTCTCCAACACTCCGTGCTGAAAAAAGCGGGTGGCCATTTTTATGCTAATGAAGCATATTTAAATCCCCACTTCATTAGCAATTTCGATCAGCTGGTAGACGGGTGCAGTAAGACATATCCTTAGAGACTATGATTCTATATATCTGTTAGACTGAGGACTAATAGTTCCTAATAAATTTGTTTGTCTTTAAAGTGCCACCAGACTCCTTGTTGTTTTTGCACGGACTAGCACGGTTACCTCTCTGAAATCTAGTTTTAATGTTTCTAACCTTTATTTTTCCCGAGTGCATCTCACCAGGGAAGAACTTAGGCCGATGTCTCTCAAAAGTCAACCTCCCACGCCATGCCCCTGCCTGTGAAAAAGGAA